GAAGATTACCTTAGTCTAACGTATCTTCCTATGATTAGTATGAACATAAACGATCACTTAATTTAATAATAAACAATTTTAAGATATTAATGTTTACAACATGCTTACGCTACTATTAATTTGTTCCACATGCTGGAAAGGTGAAACATGGTCGTGGAACTTTGAATGGAGGCGAAGCTTGTTTTCCTGAGAGGCCGAATCACTACAGGATTTAAAGTAATGGATCGATATGACTGAATTTCGGAAAGACAAGGAGGATACTTGGATCTGGAAGGCGGAGAGGAAGGGATTATACACAACGAAATCAGGATACAGCAAACTTGTCCATCAACAACCTTCATCACAAGAATCATTATTTATAAGGTTATGGAACAGTAACATTCCTAACTAAGTTTGTGGGTTTGCGTGGTTATTATTGCATGACAGGATTCCATCAAAGCTCAATCTGTTCAAAAGAGGAATAGTCACAGAAATAGAAGCAACTACATGGGGGTTATGCAACAAATGTGTGGAGGATGGTGACCACCTTTTCCTCCATTGTATAATTGCTTCAGCAATTTGGATAAAATGCATTCAATGGTGGGGTCTAAGCACTGTACTTGCTAGAACATGTAGGGATTCTTTTATGCAGCATGAAGACATGGTATCCAAAGCAAATAACCGACTGGGCTGGGCTGCTGTTTGGTACTCTTTGGTATGGACAACTTGGAATACCAGGAATGAGGTAGTATTCAAAGGGGGCCATGCGAATGTGGATCGGATGTTTGATCAAATACAAGTGAGGTCTTTTTTGTGGATAAAAAATATAGGAAAAGGAGGAAGTTTTACTTTTTCAGATTGGATTCTAAATCCCAACGGTTGTAAAATCTCTTAAGGAACCATACAATATGCCATCAATTAGCAAGGCAACGTTTGAGTCAGAGTATGTTTTTTTGATGTAAATGGATTTGAGTATCCCTTATATTAAAAAATATAATCTTTTTTGCCTTTAAAAAAAAATTTTTTTGTTCCACATGCAATTTTAGTTTTTCTTTTGATAAGTCAAAAATTTTATTACCATGGGTACATGGAGTCTTCAAATCCATATACATTCGTTCACCCGATACCACTTACATTACTTATCTCATCACCCTTGCTACAGTAAATTTTCAGCCTTCCCAAATCCACAATCCAGTACCAGCTTAGATAGAAAAATTACCTCATTCTGAGAGAAAGTCTTGGTTAGATTTCCAGAAATCCAACGACAGCTGAGGTTGTACCTTTGCCCTT